AATGTTTTTATGCTTGACTCTTAATCTTCACTTTGATGCCAGCTCTGATAAATTAGTCATTAGGAAGTACTGAGAAGGATGTGAGATTTAGTGGGAAAGACTAATACTTGGCATTGTTTTCTGGATCAGGGATCTACCACTGCCTAACATGTCACTCCAAACCTCAGGGATTAGAAAAATCCCAGCTGCATTATTTGCTCACAGTTCCGTGGGTTAGCAATCAGGGCTGGTCTCAGCGGAGTGGCTCTTCTGCCGACCTCACCTGGGGGCCCGGGTGGCTGTGACTGAGCGGGGTATTCCGAGGGGAGCTCACTCACCTGACGTCAGCTTGGCCTCCCTCTGCACGGTCCTCCTCTCAAGAAGCCTAGACCAGCGACTTCCTGTGATGACCTTAGGTTCCAGGATGGTGACGGAAGAAGATGCAAGGTCTTTTGTGGCCCAAGCTTGGAACTTCCACAATGGCATATGTGTTACATTGTATTGATCGAAACAGGGCACATTTCTATCGGAGAAGGTCAGGGGCAGACATGACTGCCAGTTGACTCTGGAGCTGGACCAGACAGGGCAATAGGAGCCTCTCACCCCAGTCCCTGTCTTTGGAATGTACACTTTGCCCACTCTTCCCACAGTGGGAGCAGCTTCAAGGATGCACCTTTGAGCGAGTACTGTGTGGCTGAGACCGGCTGGACTGAATACCAGACTGCGCTCCATTAAGGCCTCTATATAAACTTTTAAGATTCTGGCCGGGGGTGGGGTAGGGGTGCAGAGATCTGCTTTTCCTGCAGCTGCCCAAGACAAGCCTGTCTTTAAATTCCCAGGTTTATTATACCTGCCACTTACCAATTTGGAGGGGTCCCCCTCCTTCTTCCGTCTCTCCGGGCCCTCGGTGTATGGGGGCCAGTTTACAAACCAACGTCCAGCACAGCTTCAAGAGGTGCAGATAAATTCCATCTCATGATGGGAGAGCAGGCAAGGAGGGCGTGACTTCTGGGGGAGGGGTGTTTGTGGCCGTCTTTGAAATTAACCCACGGCACTTCCCAGGTGGGTGAAAGTATGAGGAAGCGTCAGATAGGAGAACTGCAACATGTATCCTGGGCATTAACCAGTCTTGTGCCATTTGCCTAATTTAACCACATTTGCAGATGAACTGTTAAGGTTTCCTTTAAGGGAGGAAAAGGGTTCTCTGAAAGCCCTAATAAACACCCATCACTATAGAGGGACAAGAGCCAGTGGCTCCATCCCTACAGGAAGATTTAAATGGTTTAATACCTTCTCAAGACTTTTAAAAGATTACTCATCTACAGCTGTTTTGGTGATTTTGAAATAAGGTTAATGATATCACAAGAAGCACTTTCTTACGCTTGCTTTGCTAAATATACAACCATAATAAATTTTCCTGGCCATCTGATTAAATTAGAAATGTAAATGAGCTTAAATATGGTGTATCACTTTTGTTTGAGGAACTAAAGCAGATAATTGAAATCCACAAATATTCCAAATGGAAATGACTTAGCCACAAGGAACATGGGCCACTTTGTGAGAATTCGATCATTTCAATCATAAAAAGGGGGAGGGAAGTAACGGGATGAAAACGAATGTTTTCTGCACACCTACTATGTGCCAGGCATGTTGCATACATTCACGCCATCATGGCTCCCAATAATTCTAAATGTTAACTATTATTATCACCCTTTTTACAGGTGAAAAATCTGAGGTCCCACAAGGGAAATGATTTGCTAAAAGTAATCACCCAGATAATCTGAATGCTGGGACTCAGCCCGAGTCTCCCCATTGTCCTAGCTCCTTTCTAACATGTGTCGAGATTGATATGTATTTTATACTTATATTCAAATTAGGCACATTGTAGCCTACTCTTATGAATCTGTAATTATGCTGTAAGCATTTTCAGCTACAACACAGCTTTATAATTACCCCCCTTCATAGCTGCATGCTATTTAACATTTCTTTGATATGTTGGACCATAATTTACTTCACCTTTCTCCTTATTTAGATATGTAGGTTGCTCAGGGCCCAGAATCATGGACAAGATTTAATCTGGCTTACCAAGCTTTTTGGGGATGGTTGTAATTCTTTTCCTGGACAAAGTACTATTTTTGTAATCCATGTGGGCCTTGTCAGTCTTCTATTTTTATTTTTTGTCATTCTTCCTTGAAATGGTATTTATTAAGATTAGATCTGCAGAGGTAACTGTTGGGATTATGTGCCAAACATTTCTACTCATTGCATCCAAACACCTCCTGCTTATATGAAGAATGATTCTTTGCTCAGAACAAATCAGTCTGTGTGGTAAAGCAGCCCCTTCAGGCTCACCATGAGGTGCTGTCCCCCAGCAGAACCTCAGAGATCCGAATGCATGTCCGCCTCTAGCCAGTAGATGTCTCTCTTTCATTCACCCTCTCCGGCGGGTCCTTCCTGAATGGGAAGACTTGGGAGCAACCCCGAAGGGTGGGAGGTTGTCCCATCCCTTTTTGTCACCTTTCCCCAGCCCCCACCTCCACTCTCACCCTTCCCCCAGTTTTCTGATTGGTGGCATAAAGGTAATTGAAGCAGAAGTGTCGTTTGCGTTTCAACACGTTCCCTACTTGACCAAATCTGTTTGCAGTGGGGCTGGTAACTGAAAGCAAAATCTCTACAGAGCCGAAGACTGTTCTCTTTAAATAGCGCCACATTCAGAACTAAAAGCTGTATTACTGAGTCATAACAATTAATTACACTAGGAGGTGAGAAGACAGGATTTAACGCTCTAATGGGATGTGAGGTTAGGCCCGTTAGCTCATCCTACTGCTATTTAAAACAAAATCACTTTTCCTCCGAGGCATCTGCGACTGAGGAAGGTTTCAAAGCTTAAGTCTGAAGACATCCCTGGCAACCGAATATTCCTGTTTTAGCTCCCTGAGTGGTTTAATATGCATATTTGGATTTTTTAGATTTTTGTCGTGAAGGGCATCTCTTTCCGCTTTGGGATTTGATAAAAGAGATCGAGAGGCTGGGAAGGTCTATTATTGTTATCAGGAATTTTTCAGGTGTGGGAGTTGTGCAAGAAGAGTTATTGGAGAAGAAAAAAATATTGTCCTAAAACAGAGACCACGTGACCAGGCTTCTGAGATGCACGTCCACGTAGGGCTGACATACCCACAACTCATCACCAGGGATGTATCGATGGGTCCAGAGCCAGTGGCAGGGATTGGGGAAGGAGCTGAGAAAGTGAGTCCCCGTGGTCTGCAGGCAGGAGGGGCATCTGGGGGAGCTTGGGGAAGTGGAGGGGTGTGCGTGCATGAGCGGGGAGTCCTGTGGCCATCACAGAGAACGAGCCTTTCAGAAGCATCTCTGTGGCTTTGCCACAGGCTCCTGGGGCCCAGGGCTCCTGGCCCTGCCTGGGTGGGTGGCACCGACAAACAACTATGTGGTCTGGAAGGCGCTGCTGGGGGCGTCCCTGGAAAGGAGCATCATGGGGGTCGGAGCCCTGGATCAGAAGCCCCACCGGGCGACTCTCCCGTGAGTGACTCTCCATGGGCGACTCCGTGGATCCTTGCTGTGCCAGCCCTGGGGGACCCTGGGCTTCGGTCCCTCCGACTGCTGCGGGGAGGGTCTGAGGAGCTGAGCGCTGGATTCCGGAGCGCTCTGCGATCACTCTATGTGCACATGATCATGGGCAGAGCCCTCCAGACCTGGGGGGTTAATTTTGACAATGTACAGGCGTGCACATGTCCCAGGGTGGCCCTTCTTCTGCCACTCCCAAGGCTCAGGACCCCTCCTCTCAAGAGCCTTGGGCCCCCCATGCGCTGTGTTCTCCTTGCCCCGCTCCAGCCCCTCTGTCCCACCACCGTCTCCTCCCACACCCCTTTAGTCAGCCCTCCAGAGGCAGCTGGGCACCCCGGTCCTGCCCAGTTTCTCCTCCCCGGGGCCCAGGTGGCGCCTCTCTTCTCCAGGTGTTTCCATGGTCCTAGGACTTAGAGCTTCACGGCCAGAACTCTGGCCTGGAAGTCACCCCGGTGCGCACTCCAGAAGCCTGTTTGTTCTGTCTATGGATGGGAATCGCAATACTTCTCTTGCCCAGTTGTCAAGAGGACCCGCCGAGCCAGGCCATTTTAGGAAAGGCAGTTATTTGCGGGGAGGGCAGCACTACCTTCTTCACTGGGGACTCAGGGTGGCGCCTAGCTTATCTCGGTGTTCGCAGAGCCTCCTGCAGCGCCTGGCAGGTCCCAGGGATGAAGGACGGAGGATCCTGGGTTGTCCTCCTCCTCCTGCTATTTATGGCCCAGTCTTGGCCCCCATGTCATCCCTCACTACATGTTCTGGGTCTTAACTCCAGACATTCTCGGGGCCCCACCTCACAAGCTCTGCCTTCCTCCTCTTCCCACGTAGGCCCTGATTGGTTTCCCGCCCAACATTTATCGCGACCTGGCCCAACACCTGTTCTCATGTTTTCTCGGGGGTGACTGTAACCCCAACTGCAACGGAGATTGTTGTCTTCTATTCCGTGAGGCTCTATCTCAGACCCGAGCTCGAGGGCTGGAGCATATAATAGGTGCTCAGTTAACCGGAGTGGGAAGAATGAATGGAAGTTTGCGGCCCAGCACAGCGCCAGGCAAGTCACAGGCAATTCAGAGATCCCTGCTGCCCAGAAGCCTGGGACCCCGGGGCCTACGGTTTCTCTCTTCAGGAAGCCCCCCCTCTCCAGGCCCTGCCCTCCCCAGCCAGTCTGTCCCCTCTCCCAGGCTCCATCCCACCCGAGGTTCCCGCGGGGAAGAGGGCCGCCGGCCCTGGCCTCCACACGCTCCCCTCGCTGGGACCGGGGAGACGTCGCGCTCCGTCCCGCGACCCCCGCGACCCCCGCAGCCCCGAGGTGCCGGCTGTCGGGCGGGCGCCAGCCCCGGGCATGCTCAGAGCGCGCAGGTCCGGAGGCGGCGGCGGTGGGGGAGGAGGAGGGAGCGGTCGCCGCCGTGCGCTCGCGGGCCCGGGCGGAGCTGCGCAGTCTTCTCGCAGCTGCGCCAGGACAGCCGGCGCGGCGGCCGTGCCCACAAGTTGCCGGCAGCTGAGCGCGGCGCCGCCCCCTCCTGCTCGCAGCCCCCGGCGCCCACCCCTCGGCGGTGGCCCGCTTGAGGACGCACATCCCGCGGACACGCACCCCAGATGTAAAGCGGGACCGCAGCCCCTCGCCCCCAGGCGCATCCACTGAGTCTCGCCAGCGTCTGTCTCCTCTGCCAAACCCCGCGGCTGGAAGATGTGGCAACCGGCGACGGAGCGCCTGCAGGTAAGGGGCACCCCGGCAGCCGGGGGCCAGCCTGGAGGAGGAGGTGCCCGGGCCAGAGGAGCCGAGCTGGCGCCTTTGCCCACTTGCAGGGATTTGCCCAAAACGACCGTGTAAGACGCGCGGATAGGAACGTGATGCTGTCGGCTGCACCTAGCGCCAGGCACCCGGCGGGGGCGAGGGGGTGATACACTGATGAACGCAGCGCTTTGGGCATCACAACTTTCGGCTTGGGGGTGCTTGTGCGCGTGTTGGAATATATAAGGTTGGACTTTCTGACCAGCAATTTTAGATTGCATTCCACTGACACAAATTTACTGGTCTGGGATTAGGGCTTTTGCATCCAGATATTTTTCTTCTTTTTGTCTCCAGGAAAGACAGAACAAATGATTTGTGAAAACATCCATTTGCCAGTGTAATTTGGAAATACCAAGCTTGGTTTGGCATGGTCACGGTATGCTACTTCTTGCTCGCCCCCCCTCCGCCCTCTCCGCCCCCTGCATTCGTTGGCGCTCTCCCTCATCTCCCTTGAACCTAAGCTCCCCCAGATATTTGAAAATCAAAAGTTTAGTTAAGCCAGGAATAATTATGTCCTGGGTCATCCCATCCAAAGTTTTTCATAGTTGTCTACTGAAATCCCTTTCATTTGGGTTCTGAGGCTATGGAGTTGGCAAGGGGGTCAAAGTGAGGAAGAGCTGCTTTTGCAGAGGGGACACTTGGGACCCTGGAGTCTCCCTGACTTGAGGTTTGATGACTTCCTTTTGCCCGAAGATATTCTCAAGAGGGAGGGTGGCTGCTCTGCCAGATAAAATCCACGGAGCCCTGCAGTTAACTTTTGGCAGGCTCAGAGCTACATTGCTCCGTAGCAAAGTTTGGAGAAGTGTTTAAGTGGTAAAATATAGCACAGTTGGAGGCCGGGTGTGTCTGAGGAGTGAGGATGGCGAAGGCCAGGGGTCCTGGCTGGCTTGGAAGTTTTCTCAATGAAAACGCAAAGCTCCAGCCTGCCCTGTCATCCTGAGGAGTCACCTGCTTAGATCCCGGCTTTTCGCAGAATGGCCCACAGCCCCTGTCTGCGCCTCTCTGGGCCTGAGATCAGCAGAGAGTGGGTTCATAGGAACAGAATTGGAGCTATCAGGCCAGTCCCCCCGGGGTGTCAGACTAAACAAGAAAAGGTACCCGTTGTCTTGGAAATGGGGTGGTGGGTGAACAGTCTCTAACTCCCTCCTTGTCTTAGTAAGAGAGTATGGACGCTGGGCTCTGAATGACTGATTGACCAAAGGTGATGTCAATGCATTTTGGCAGTGGCAGCGGTTACCAATTGTGCATATGAATTCCTCCTTCAGTCCGGGGTGTGGATTCTGCTCTAAAGGAGTGGGTAACCGAGGGGTGGAGGGTGGAGGGCTCCCCATCAGGGGAGGGGGGTATCTCTTGGAAGTCCTTAGAGAGTGGAGGCCACAGTTCTTTAAGGCAGTTCTTGTGGCCCGGTGGTCAGTGCCTTGGCAGAGTTTATGGACTTTGTCCCTTGAAGTTATTCCTACTGGCCCGTTTCCTGTAGGGACTCCTGTGTGCTCCAGAGCCCGTGACCCTTGGCGGAGAGCGCTCTGGCTTGCATTCCGCATGGCGGTCGTTCCTTGCGAGAAATGTCCTCCTGGCTCTCCTGTGAAATGTACACATGTACAGTTGGCAAGAGTCCGGTTTATTACAGTTTGTGTTTGCAATGCATTTATTTCATTTAGAGGTGTCATGTTGAGAGAGCCTGGGCTTTGGCTTTCAAAAGCTCAAGTAAACATGGCTTATCATTGACGAAGATCAAGTCACTGTTGGAAGGTACTTATCCATATGGGGCTCAACCTCATGCTCCTCCAATTTGAATTAGTAAACAGTCTGGTGCTCTTTAAAAAGTCCATCTCAAGCCTTATGATTATCAAAGCGAGCCAAATGGAGGAAAAAAACAGCTTCATACTCATGGCTTCTTCCCAAAGAGCAGCTCAACACTGTTTAAAACACACATACTCTGTATGTTTTTACTTTTTCCTCTGGGGGAGGGAAATGTTGAGTGTGAGGTGGTGAGTGAGCCGCTTGTAATAATATTTTATTTACATTCCTTGCGGTTATCTTTGTCAGGGTCTCTGATGTCTGAGATTTTTTCTTCCCCTTTTTGCCCTCAGGGCACCGCGGTATAGGAACGTTGGTTTCCGATTCCTCAGTGAGTGGGCTGCGTTTGCTCGCCCGGTGTCTGTGGCTGTGGAAATCAGTCGTGTTCCACAGGGGACATAAATGATGAGCGCATTCTTTCACGAAGCCCCACCCTTCTCGCACCAATCTTTCTGACCTTCTCATGTAACCTCATTAATATTTTTTATTACGTGTTCATGCATACATTCTAATTTAGATGAACTGGCATGAAGAAAACGCTCCAAGGATGCTTTTCCCAGAGCTTCCTGTTAGGACTGAGGAGTCCATTTATCGTCCAGATACCTAGAAACAGAAGAGGCGCAGAAGGCAGAGAATGACACCTTTTCTTAGTTGGTTTTATTCGTTCCTATTTGATGAGGCCCATTCAAAGGGTCCGTAGACCAGGGAGTGTGGCAGAACTTTGCGGAGGGCAGACAGTTACTCTCTAACTAATTAGAATGGCACAAATGGCATCTTTGATCTGGTTGGATTATCATGATCAATACTCACTGTTTTGCCAGACAAAACGATGCTGATATTTTCTGATCTGCGTTTTTGCTGTTTGACCCAAATCTAGTACAGGCGCAGAAGCGACCAGTTGCCCCGAGCAGGCCGGAGCTGGGTTATTTCTCATTCAGTCACACAAACCGCGGCAAGTTCATCTGCTGCCTTGAATGTTAAAACTTCTGCCGCATCCCACTCGAGCCCTCGCTGGGAGCTTCTGCCATGAAAAACATAATAGGATCAAAAGGGATGTGGAGGTTTACATGACCACCCCAAGTTTTAAAAATGAATAAATCTGAATTCTTCCCTTTTACCTTCTCCTCTGAGCAGCAGACTTTTGTTCTGGGAGGAACTGGGGAAAGTTATACATTTTTAAAGAGATTTGAAACAGGTTGTGCTCAGAGATGTCAAGGGGACTTTTCAGTAGAAAAAGGCTAAGTATGGTAGTTTAAAAATAGAGATGAGATTACTTCTGGCCTCATTGTTTAAAATTTGCATGAATATCCTGATTGTCTTGATTATTGGGCTGAGCGGGTCCGTGAGGAGTGACAGACTCCCCCGCGCCTGAAGGTGGCCTCACTTCGCCCCCAGGAATGTGTATTTCCCTGACCTATCAGATGCATTTTCCTTTAAGTCAGGAAAGGAGGGGAGCTCGAGAAAGATGAATGGAGACCGCTGGGAACAAAGGAGGCCAGCCCTTGCCGGGTGGCTCAGGTGGTTGGAGCATTGTCCACACACCAAAAAAGGTTGTGGGTTCCATCTTCGGTTGGGGTGCGTGTGGGAGGCCACTGATGGATGTTTCTCTCTCTCATCGATGTTTTTCTCTCTCACTATCCCTTCTTCTCTCATTAAAATCAATAAAAACGTATCCTTGGGTGAGGATTAAAAGAAAACAAAACAGAGGAGGCCAACACGTCCCTGTCTGTGGTGATATCACGAGGGTGGGCTGGAATAGGACTGTAAGAAAGTATGGGGAATAAATCCTAGCAATTTCTAATTTCAGAGTCTGTGTCTAATCATCTTCTCATGAAGCATTCCATAAAGGTTCCAATTTAATCATTTGTCTCTCTTCCCTGAGATTAAAATTCTCCATGGTAGATCCAGAGAATACAAAACTTTTATCCATAAAGCCAGATTTTGGCTGCTCAGCCTGGGCTGTTTTTTCTGCCCCACCACTTTCTTTTCCCCTCTCATTTTGGCCGATGGCTGGATGCTAGAACCTCCAAAAGAGGGTGAAAAGAGGAAGCATTGTGAGAAAACCAGAGCCTGAAGACCCTTTCTTTTGATTCCTTGTTAAACTTTTGGCTGATAAAGAGGGCGATGTTTTTAACAAAATAAAGCTGGGATGTATTAGGAGGGGAGAGTCCTTCTTTCCCCAGGATTCTCCTGCCCTTGCTCTGCCCGGTCATATCTGGTAGATCTCACCTTGGCTCGGAGTGTGGGTTGTTTCAAGTTTACTTCCCTACTATTACGCCGCGTCTGCTTTTCCCCTGAGAAGCAAGATCAAAGAACCCTCCAGAACGTCAGCTGGGGACCATCAGACCTGGCCCACCAGGCAGAGAGAACACCTTGGTAGATAGGACACATTTCTAGGCAGACCAAGGTGACAAAAGGAATGCAGAGCAAGGAAGATAATGACAATGGCCGCTTTTATGGAGCACGTGTGTGGGGCACTGTGCTGTGGAGTTTTATTTGAATTGTCCAGCTCAGTTACCTCCCATACCCACTTTATCCCCATGTTCTCGATAAAGAGGCCGAAGGCTAAAGCATTGATGTGATGTGGCCAAGGTCAGGTGGCTGGAAAGGAACTGAGTGGGAACTTGAACCAGAGCTTGCTCCTTAACCACTTTTCTCCAGTATGGAAGGAAAAATCAAAGCAGGGTCTCTCCCCACGCTGCTGCTGTTGCTATTAATAAACAGAATTAGAATAATGGCGGTCTTGTTGGCTCAGAGAGTCTGTTTCCACATTTCTTGATGAAGCAGTGTGGTTGCCTATGTTGACCAGGGACACCTTCTTTTTGGTGGCCCAGATCGCTGAGGGAAGTACGCTGCTGTGCCATACTTAAGCTGAATTCCCCAAGTGCCGTCGAAGACTGTCTTCAATGGCAGCATGTGGCAGATAGTCAAACCAGAGACCTTGAAAGCTGGTAATCAAACCTGATCTGGTGGCAGTCATGCCTTGTTTAGACCAAAAGTTGGGGGAAGCAGGAGAGTTCAGGAGCAATTGCTTGTACAGGGACGTGGGTTTCTCACTAAATCCATTGCAGAGTTTGTTGTCTTTCTTCATCCTTTGTAGTTGAGTAAGCATCAAGCATTGGGTCTTA